GAACCACAATACCGATAAGTGATTAATAAAAGTCAAAAGACCAAAGAGGTCACCTTAAAAAAAAAAAAAAAAAAAAATATTAATATTTACTATACAATGCTATTTTATTTATAGTTATTATACTATAGTTTCTTGAATAAGATTCTTTTGATAATAAGTTTCTTAACTACTAGTTTTCTTAATAACAATCTTAAGTATTAATTCTAATAATTAATTAATTAAATTACTTTTATAGTTTATATTTTAATTACTAATAATTTTATATTTTAATTTCTATATTTTAATTATTAATACTTATCTATGATCTTTTGCTTCAGACCAAATAGTGATTGATAATAAGTTATGTTTATAATATTTATATTATGCTTAACATTCAATTTTTTCAAAGTTAATATACCAATATGCTGCCTATAATAAACTTAAATTTAAATTAATTTTAAAATTAATTTAAATTTTAAACTAGCATCTGATGTTGTAATACCTTATATAGTTATATATTTACAAATAATAAGTCTTCCAAAAAAGTTTTTGCTAGTAGTTAAATTTCTAAACATTGTTGATTTCTCTTCACTAATTGATGAATGATCTAAATATTTTGATATACTTGACATGTCAAAGAATGAATTGTCTACTGTATTATTTCTTTTATAAAACTGATCTTTAAAAAGTTTATTAATTATAACTGACTATAATAATCTTTATAAAAATGCTATCTTATTAATTGTAGAATATACAACAGATAATCTAAAAATTTAATAGATGTAGTATTATAAAAAGTAAAATAAATCCTAAAAATTTTTTTTGGAAGAAAAAGAAATAAATAATTTTTAGTAAAGTAGTAATAACTTAATGTAAACTATAACAGATAAGTTATAAATTAAGATAAAGTTTCATTTATATAGTAAATCATTTACTATATACTGTTTGAGTAAGATTAGCCAATAATGTTTGAATATAAGAAAATGCTATAAGCATATATCATATTACTTTTTCAATATATAAAGATCATCATTAAAATTTTTATATCAAAAAAAAAAAAATAGGTAAACCAAGTGAATTGAGTAGATTATTTATAATAACTTTCTAAAATTTTATGAATTGTCTATTCTAAACAATATTCTAATTGATTAATCCCAAACATTGATATAAATTCTCTTATCATTTTCATAATATTTACAAAATTCACATTCTTGATCATTTTCATTATCTTGATCACTTTTATTATTTTGATCACTTTTATTATTTTGATCATTTTTATTATTTTGATCATTTTTATTATTTTGATCATTTTTATTATCTACATTATCATGACTTCTACCTTCTTCAACATTAATTTTTTTCTTTTTACCTAATGCTTTCTCAAAATTAAAAATTGAACTATCTTTAGAACTGTCTACTTCTGTAGAAATACCACAGCATTTAAAAGACTGTCAAATCATTGCAAGGTCAATATCATTTCAAGCTTCTTTGATCCAAGTTGTTACTAAAGAGTATAATAGATGTTTAATTTTGCCTAATAGCATATATTCCTTTATAGCTTTACTCATCTATTGATTATAAGCATAGTGAATCTATTTGTAAAAAAATTAAGAATTTTTTTACACTAAAATCAAAATACTAATAGCTTTATTTTAAAATATTGATAGACAAAATCTTGACAAGACAAAATCTTAATAAATTTAGCCAAATTTATTAAAAATTTTGTCAAGATTTTGCTTATCAAGATTTTGAAATAGATCCAATACTAACTTTTATCTTAAATAGTTTGTTTAAAGACACATCTAATGGTTGCAAGTGTAAGATTAGTCCATTTAAAATTACAGCAATATCTGTATTTTACTCACAAATGTGATACTTTACAAGATTTGTTTTATGTTCAGCAAATATATCAAAAACAAAAAGTAAATATGAATTTGAGTCCAAATTAGCTTATTAATGCTATACATTCTCTACTTATCAGATCATTTCTGTCTTATTTATCCAACTACTTGAATTTACATGGTCATATACATCATCAGAGAACCTTTTTCGAGATACATTAACTAATTTAAAAATAATGAATAGTAGAAGTTTAGTACTATCTGCAAAAAGGCTAGAGTTACTATAAAACAGATGCATTTATGGCCTATTGTAAGAATTGAAATAGTTTTTTTTTCAGATTTCTCAACTGTTGTTTGGTTTGGCATGTTAAATGCAATAGGAGTTTCATCTATATTTTCTATTAAGTTTAAAAAATAATTATGTTTAGATTATCAATAAAGAAAAAATAATAAAAAACTCTGTTGTTTTTTGATATATTCTTTAGACAATCATTATGCAATTATAGTGTGTTGATGGTTCACTAAAAAATAGCATGACATAAAACTATTTACTCATTTGTGAGAAAATTGACATCTATAAATATCAGGATATAAAGTATAATATTCTTGTTTGTTAGCTAAACTGCAAGCTTTTACTTCAATTATAAACCTGGTTACTGTTTTTAGTTAACTTCACAACTCACGAAACTATTCTAAAAGTTTAAACTCAAGCTGCAAGTATTTAAGCTGTATAACAGTATTAAGTCTTTAAATATATATTGCTACACACACATTAAGTTACTTTTTTTGTTCTTCCAGTTATGAACTTGCTTTGGTTCAATTTTAAATTTATTTGCTGTTGCTTGAATACTATGTCTATTTTCTTAATAAGCACAACTATTAACTTTTTGCAAGTGTTTTACTGCCGATATTGTTTTTGTATAATTTTTGTTCTTTGTTTACCAAAATTCCTCTTTGGTATTTTTAAGATACTTAATTATGATGATTTATAGATATTCAATATATGGCTTGAAAAAAAATTCTAAAATTAAAATTTTTGCATTTTTTTTTTATATAATCACAAAATAAACTTGGAGGCACAAAATCTGTCTTAGGTATTGTGTAGTTATGCTATTTAAAATGATCAGAAAGTAATATAGTAAAGTTGGATTTAATTAAGTATTTAGAGGTACCTTATTTAGCTAAGAGATCAGCTTGATTATGAAAAGAATTATTAGAGTGGAATTTAATCTTGTGAAAGAAGATTTTGAGAGATTTTGTTTGAATGAAATGGTGAATAATAAATAAAATATCCTAGTTTTTAATATGTAAGAATTTGTGTAAGGAAGGAAATAATTGAATATTTTTTAGAGCTGATAAATTGTCAAGGTGTATATTGCTTTGTGAGTTTATAAGAAGAATAAGTAGAAGATAGACAATTGCTTCAAGTTCTGCTTGAGTAGAGTCAAGATATAAAGATATTGCACAGTTAAATTTGATTTTGGTATTATGTTCAGAGATTCATCCAATACCAATTTTTGGATGTGGTGTTTGTGCATTAATAATTGAAGCATCTGTATAGAAATAAGTATTATTTGGAAGGTTTTGGTTAATAAGAATAGATTAGTAAGTTGGTTTTGGTAATAAGAGAAAAATATGTTTTTTTGAATTATTTGAATTTTTGTATTAGAAATGTAAATAGTTGGTAATTAAGGTAATATTGGAGTTAAAATTACATGTTGTTGAATATTAATAAATTTTATGATTATCAATATAGAGTAAATAGTTATTATTCTTTTTTAATGATTTAATATAAGAAATATTAATAGAAGTTTGAAATATTGGTGTAGATAAGTCAGTAAGAATTAGAGATATTAAACCAGAGGAGATGTTATGAAATGAGAAAAAATTAAATGAATTTTTTGTAAAAAGAATTTGTAAGGTATTAAAAACAATAGACTATTTATTTAATGATAATAAGTAATAAGGAGTGATTGTGTCAAAGGAATTGATAAAGGTATTAATATTTGGTAAGTTAAGATGTGGCCATGTTTAAGAAATTGTATTGTTTTGAATAAGATTAGAAAGTTTAGTAAACCAAGATAAGGTAGGTTCATGACTAAATTTTTTGGTATGTATATATATGTTGTTCTATAAAAAGATATATAAATAGTTAGCTGTTATATGTTATTCAATAAAGAGTATTTTGTTGTTTCAAAGACTATTAATTAGTAAATAAGAATTATTGAATGAAAGAATATCATATATTGTTTTTGTAGATATAGAAATATTAACTGGTAATAAATTTAGTGAATTATTAAGTGAAAGAAAAATATTGGAGTTATTTAAAAATAAAAGTTGAAAGATGAATGTAAAGTTTTTTGTTTTTAAAGAAAACTTAGAAGCAGTATTTGGAAAAAACAAAGGTTGCCATATTTTAGTTAACCAATTTTTAATTCTGACTATACCAATATTTTTGAGAAGAGGAGTAGAATAAAGTATGTGTTTCATTGTAGATATTACTACTTTTTGAATTAGATATTGAAGGGTTAGAAGTTTAAATAATAATGAATTAGTAAGAAAAATATTAGATGTATTTTTTGTCAAGTGAAGCATTTTTTTTGTTGTAATAGAGACTAGATATGAGAGTTTTTGTTGTTGTGTTTTTGAAATTGGCAAAATTTGTAATAAATATTCTAAAGATAGTTATAGTATTATATTGAAGAGAGTAGAGATTTGTTTAGATGTGAGTTTTTTGAATTTAATTAAAGCAAGAAAGTTTTTAATTTTGTTTTGAAGCATCTCATATATTGGTTTAGTTAAGCTATTTCCATCAAAATAGATACTGAGGTATTATATAATTTTATGAGGCTTATATAAAGATATTATTTGATTATTGTAATAGAGATTTGGTGTAGTAAGATTTAGTTTGTTTTTGTTTTGAGAGATATGCAAAAAATCAGATTTGGTCAGATTAATTTCAATATTATTTAAGTTGTAAAGTTTTTGAGTATTATTAAGAATACTTTGAAAAGGTTTAGGACTTCTATTGTGCCAAACAGTGTCATTTATAAAAACCATAGAAGGTATTGTTATAGAAGATGATGGAATGTTTGAAATGATATTAAGAGATAAAGAAAAAATAATTTTGAGTAGGTAGTTGTTATATTTGTTGTAAATGAAGATAAGAATAGAATTGTAGTAAATTTTTTAAAGTAAAAATGAATAGGTTTTACCTTGTTTAATTCCTGATTTAATATGAACAGATGATATAAGACTATATGCAATAATAATTCTTACTTGTCAGTTTGTATGAAGTTCAGTAATAAGTTGAATTTCTTGTAAAAGAATACCAATTTTTTTACAAATATCTTGAAGTTAAAATATGTTAATTTTATTAAAAGCTTTGAACATTTCTTAAAACATTATTCATGCTTCTTTATTAAAGTGTTTGTAATGTTCAATAGTATTGTTAAAGATTTGAATTGGAATGTGTATTGATAAGTTTTTGGTAGCTACAAAGTTAAGATTAAGAGAAGATTGTTTGTATTAATAATGTTATCAAGTCTTTGTATAAAAAGTTTTGTAAAACATTTTTTTATAGGTTTTATAATTGAGATAGGACAAACTTGATTAAATATAAAGTCCTATAAGGATTTTTTTGAATAAGAAAGATGTTAGATGGTTTTCAATCTGATAAAATTTTTTGAAATTAAAAGCATTTGTTAATAAATAGTTTGAGAGAGATTTGGTCAGAAAAGCCAACATATTTAATATATTCATAGTTGGTTTCAAAAAATCTAGTAGCTTTTTGAAGAGAGAGATTTTGACTGATATTTTAATATTTATCATTAGAAATATCATTAAATAAGTTCTGATAGTGTGGTTCGAACTCAGGATGAGATTGGTAAAGTTCATAATATTCAAAATTAGGTTAAATTTGTTGAAGAGGTTTTTTATTAAAGTATTCAGAAAAATAAGTGTGAATAGCTTGTTTAATTTAATCTTCTTCTGTTAATAAGATGTTATGATTTAGTAATCTGTCAATATGTATACTATTATATTTTTCAAGAATATTTTTAAAGAATTTTTTTGGTTATGAGTAAAAGAGTTGATTATGGTCTTCAATTTTTTGTTGAATGTTTTTTTGGATTTGTTGTTAGTAATAAGTATTAAGTACTAATTTAATTTGAATAAATTCTTGTTTAATAGTAGATTGAAGATTATCAGAAGTTTGAAATTGAATAATAAAATTATCAGAATATTTAGTATTATATTTATGAAGAAGATTATAAAGATTTAAAGATTGTAAATAATTTTAAGGTATTGTATTTGTTTGTATCTATAATAAAGTAAATGATGTTTAAGTAGTTAATCTAATTTGATTTTATGAATAGTTTTAATTTTTTTATAAGAAATGTTTTTAGTAGTAGTTTTGGAAAGTGTTTTAAATATTTTGTTTCAAATTAGATTAAGTTCATTTTGATTTTTAATATTTAATATTTTAGTTTGAAGTTGTGTGAGACTTTGTAATATTTGGTTTGAGTAGTTTTTCAGGTTTTCCTTAAAACAGTTTTTCCAAAGAAAGCTTTTTTTGTATGTTGTTTGGTAGGTTTTATTTTATTAATAGTTATAGATATATCAAGAGTAATGATTTTGTGATCAGATTCAGATGAGATATCCTTAAAAATATTAGTATAGTCAATTTGAAATATGCTTAGATTTGTCTATATTTGATCAATTCTATT